AAAAAAAATAAAAAAATAAAACAAAATTAGTGGTTCTCTATTCTAATTCATCGTTCTATATTCAGCTCTAGAACACTAGAGTAACACTGTAATACAGACCAAGAAGAATAAATTCAGAAAATTATGTGGGAATATGGATTTAGAAGATAAAGCTTTATAAAATATCAATGCCATACCATACCATCTTATACCATATTTCCAAAAATCTACAGTAACCTTAAAAGTGACTGTCAAAAGTGTGATTGTCAGCAAGAACATAATACACCTTGATGGTTTTACTGTATCAAAACTCAAAAGAACTGATAGCTTATCAAAATAATTGCAAATATTTTAAAAATGATTATATTTTAAAGTAACTAATATAGCATTTTTATCCTTGGCCTCAAAATATTTGTAAAACAATGTTACTGGTTCTCAAAACCAATAGTTTATGCATTAATAATTTTGAGTTGCCACAAAATGTTGCCCACAAAATTTGAGGATAATAATTGTAGCAAAACCTGGATATCAACTTTTGTTAGACTAAAATATAAATTGACTAATAGAAATTAGGGCCCAAACAGGAAAATTATGGTAAAGAATTCTAAATAATTTTCAAGTGTTAGGTAACTGCCAAAATAAATGTGACATGATTCTTTCTATCAAGGATGTCAACTTAATTGACCTCAGAGACAAACATATATAATAGATTCAAGTAAAATGAAAAACATCCCTAACAGAAACCAATGCTAAGACTGTATTTTGTTTTGGAAACACAAAATAAGGAGAAATTAATTCCAAATAGAGAAGGAGTGAATAAAACTAAGGTGGCTTTTGAAGTTTGTTGCAAAGTAAGTGTATGTTCTCATAGGTGTTTCCATTCAATAGACTTTGAAAGTTCTCATTTTATTTCCTTTTGCAGTTTTACCAGCTAAAAGATAGTTGACACATCATAAGTGCTAAGATGTATGTTGAATGAATTGATGAGCAAGTTAACTACACAGTCAGTCTTTCAGCCATCATTCTTGCTATCAAAATCTTCTAACATTCCTATCTGAAGTTTTGCCTAGCTCTAATCATAGTATAGAAATATAGATATGAGACAAAAGCCTAATGTCCCAAGAGAACAAAGAACAATACACAGAGTCCAAAGAGAGCTGCTGTCTCTCACTTGTAAATTCTGGAAAGCTGGGATTCAAGGCTGCAGATAACAGCTTCTCCTGCTAGCACCCTGTTCCTTGATCCCTTGCTTATCAGCTAGCATTTGTGTGGAACTAGTGTTAGGCAAGTTGTGGAAGTCAATAGAGAGAGTAGTTTGTGTTCACCAAAGTAGTTATGCACATTCCTTAGACTGCTTTTAGCTCCCAATAAATGTGAGATGCTTCTGAGGCTCTGGACT